GTAAAAATGAGGGTAAATTCATCTGAAATGATTAGTTACACTTATAAATGTATGTATTAATGAGTGCAAACCTTAATAAAATATTATGTCTGTTTGTGTCTTCACCTCTACCAGTAATGGCTTATTCATAGTCCAAACAATGTAATGGCCTCTCAACACTGCCATTAGTATGCTAAATAGAACAATTGCTTGCATACTAACAGATTATATTGTCTTTTTATCTAAAAGTATGTATCATGTGACTCCTCCTTTTAATCTACTTCAATGAAAACTTGACTCTGATTGCTTTTTTCATTGCATTTTAAGATTACTGTTGTGTGTACATTAGTAAACTATGTATTCCTTCATAATAAGAAAATAGAGACCCATATTCTGACATGTGTTAAAATATATTGTCAGCGCTTAGAAGATAATGGGATTTGGGAAATTCTTTTTTGTTCCAGCTGCTAATACTTAGAGGGTACTTTGAGTACCACCTTGAATAGTCATATATTTATAATTTTCTGCGCTCTCTTTTTTTCATTTTTGTTTATCATATTCTTACATACTTATTTTTTTGTACCTAATTTTACTACTATGATTAAAAATGTTGACTTACTAGAGTACTTTATTGTATACTGTGTTTTTTTTACATGAATATTGCATGCCTTGTGATGTGAAAATAACTCCCTTATTAAAGTAATTGTATACGTGTTTGGTTTCTTGAATAGCGCTACTGCATCACACTTGACATTGGGAATCAAACTGTTTTCTTTCGTCATTCATGTTTAATCATATTACAGCAGTGAAGTTTGGTTAAAACATGACCTCTGAACAGTGGATAGGACTTGGACTGCAGTATCTCCAAATCACAGGTTTATCTTTCTCGGGTCCATTCATCCTCCTTAGCTTGATAAATTGAATATCATTAACCCCTTAGTGACCAGACCACTTTTCAATTTTCTTACTGTTTGGGACCAGGGCTGTTTTTACATTTCTGTTGTGTTTGTATTTAGCTGTAATTTTCCTCTTACTCATTTACTGCACCCATACATATTATATACTGTTTTTCTCGACATTAAATGGTCTTTCTAAAGATACCATTATTTTCATCATATAATTTACTATAACAAATATAAAATATTATATGTTGAAAAAACACACCTTTTCTAACTTTGACCCCCAAAATCTGTTACGCATTCACAACCGCCAAAAAACACCAATAGTTTCTAAATTTTGTCCTGATTTTAGAAATACACAATGTTAACATGTTCTTAGCTTTCTTGGAAAGTTATAGAGCAATAAGTACAAGTAGCACTTTGCTGTTTTTAAACCTTTACATTTTTAATTAACGCAAGTTACATTGTAACACTGATATTTGTCAGGAATCCCTGAATAACACTTCACATGTATATATTTTTTTAAAACAAGACAACCTAAAGCATTAAACTTTTTTTTTTTTTACTCTTTTCATGCAACCATTGTATCACCAATCTATGCCAAATTTAGAAAAAATAAAATAATTGGTGATTTTTTTGACACACATAGCAATTTAAGAATACATGTACTGAGAACTTTAAGGGTTACTTCCAAAGAACACCCTACTATGTGTTCAGCAACATCTCCTGAGTACAGTGATACCCCCTATGTATAGGTGTGTCGGGTTATCTGGGGGATAAAATACCTTATTTGGAGGGTGCGCATTCCAGTTTTCCAACTTGGAATTATCACAGATCGTCATCATGCACCCATGTCCTATTTGGGACATTTTTGAAGCCAGACAATGTAATTTACCTCCATCAAACCACATATTTCTGAAAAGTAGACAAACTAGGGTATTTCAAATGGTGGTATTTTAACACTTTCCATTCACTAATTCTACCACAAACTTTGTCAAGCTTTTGGGTAGTCATTTTTTGTGTTATTTTTCTCTCACATTGTACTTTAGGCATGGATTCTCAGTTCCTGTTATGTGCAACAGTACCCCCTATGTACAGGTTTTCAAACTTACAGCGGTCAAATGTATTGCTTTCCCCTTTTCCATGTTTGCACATTGAAATTTGCCAGATTGGTTTGCTGGGCCTATGTTGCCTTTGAGACAGTATAGCAGCCCAGGAATGAATATGAACCCCACCATGACATACCATTTGTAAAAGTAGACAACCCAGGGTACTCAAAATGTGGTATGTCCAGTCTTTTGTAGTAGCCACTTAGTCACAAATGCTGGCCAAACCTTGCGTTTTTATTAGTTTTTTTGAATTTTTTACACAAAACTGCACTTTTATTGGTGTTTTAATATATATTAATATCAACATACAGTTAGAATAAAATTACACATATATATATATATATATAATTTTTTACAGCATTTTATTTTTAATTAATTATTATTTATTTTTTAATATATACAATATATAGTTATATATTATATGTATACGTGTGTAATTTTACTCTAAAAAAATATACTTAGTATGACATTATATATAAGATATATCTATATATATATATATATATTATGTTGCTACAACGTGAGGCACATTGGATCCACCGGCTTGACACCGTGACCCCAAGAGGACTTAATGAAAACATTGTTTATTCAGTTTTTCTTTAATTTGCCATTTTAAATGAGACTATGATACATACTTTTTACGATACGAAAAAAAATCACACATTCTTCTTCTTCACCCTGCTGTATTTCACAACTCTCTTCTTCGCCCTGCTGTTCCTCCTCCACCTACTAACTTGACCGCCTCAGACTTTGCAACTCACTTCACTGACAAGATCTCTACAATCAGAAAAGAGATATCTCATCTTTCTTCTTCCCCTTATAATACTTCCCCTAACTTCACTTCCTCTGCTGTTCTATGTTCATTCGCACCCGCTACATTGGAAGAAGTTTCTGCTCTGCTCCAGTCCTCCTGCCCTACCACCTGCTCCCTAGATCCAATTCCATCGCATCTCATCCATACTCTGTCTTCTTCTCTTTCTCCACCTCTCACTAAAATTCTCAATCTCTCTCTCTCCTCTGGTATATTTCCATTGCCCTTCAAACATGCAACTGTAACCCCAATTCTAAAGAAGCCCAATCTTGACCCTAACTCCCCATCCAACTATCGTCCTATCTCGCTACTGCCTTTTGCATCCAAGATCCTTGAAAAAATTGTGTATGCGAGATTGACAGACTTCCTCGAGTCCAACTCTCTGCTAGACCCGCTTCAGTCTGGTTTCTGCACTAAGCACTCTGTGGAAACGGCACTGACCAAAGTATCCAATGATCTACTCGCTGCAAAATCTCATGGTCACTACTCTATCCTAATTCTCCTTGACCTGTCTGTGGCTTTTGAGACTGTTGATCATCAACAGCTTCTTCTCATCCTCCGCAATATCGGTCTACAAGATACTGCTCTCTCCTGGTGCTCCTCCTACCTCTCCCAGCGCTCTTTCAGTGTTTCTTTCTCTGGCTCTGCTTCTTCTTCCCAACTCCTCTCTGTTGGTGTCCCCCAAGGTTCAGTCCTTGTTCCCCTACTGTTCTCCATCTATACTGCCTCCCTTGGTAAACTCATTAGCTCCTTTGGCTTCCAATATCATTTCTATGCAGATGACACGCAAATCTACCTGTCCTCTCTTGATCTCTCCCCGTCCCTCTTGACTAGTGTCTCTGACTGCCTCTCTGCTGTTTCTAACTAGATGGCTGCCCACTTCCTTAAACTAAACTTGACCAAAACTGAAATTCTGGTCTTTCCTCCCTCAAGTGTTGTTACTCCTGTGTCTGTCTCCCTCCAAGTCAACGGTGCTACCATCAGCTCCACCACGCAGGCTCGCTGCCTAGGTGTTCTCTTTTACTCCTACCTCTCCTTCAAGCCTCATGTTCAATCTATCGCCAAATCCTGTCATTCCCATCTAAAAAACATTGCGCGCATCCACCCCTACTTAACGCCAGATGCGACTAAGGTGTTGGTCCATTCCACTGTCCTTTCTCGCCTTGACTACTGTAATCCGCATCTCAGTGGTCTTACATGCTCCCAACTAGCGCCGTTACAGTCCATAATGAATGCGGCAGCAAGGCTCATCTTCCTGTCCGCACGCACCTCCCATGCCTCACCCTTCTGTCAATCCCTACATTGGCTTCCTATAAAATATAGAGCTCAATTTAAAATTCTGGTTCTTGCTTTCAAATCTCTACATAATGCTGCTCCCACCTATCTATCCTCCCTTATACACAAGTATGTTCCGTCTAGGCCCTTACGATCTGCTGAAGACTTACGTCCATTTGACGGCGCTCTATAAATATCATAATAATAATACTTTTAAGTTTTTTCCTAAGATCCACAACTATGAATTCATTACTTCTTTAGTATATGGAGTGTTCTATTTTTTCACTTTTAATTTTTATTTTTATTTTTTTTGAATACCATGCCCGGGTTGCTTTTTCAATTTCAACATGTGATCTATATACCCCTTTTCAATATTGGATACTGTCATTATTTTAAACCTGGTTCTATCACCATTCTCTTGAATATGGGGTAAAGTGATGGCGACCAAATAGATAATTATCTTCTTTGTTTGAATATAATGGTGGAGCTAGCCTATAAGAAGTCTTCTCTAGACTTGATAGAAACTATATTATTTCAAATAATTTAATACAGCTATGCCTCCACCCTACTTGCTAATGTCATCTGTATATCAATACTTTTAAGTCCCTTTGTTTATATTAGAATCATTTATTCTATACCACATACTAAATGTCCATATAGTAAGATTCTTCAATTTGCTCCTCCTCTGCCACTGAGTCTATGATTTAATAGAATACTCATTAATGGAATACTAAATAATTTATGTAGTATATAGTTCTTAGTGCATGGTTGACATTTGTATTTTAACTTTAACTGTGTGATATTTATATATACCACTTTAACACTTTGCCTGTTAGGGACTAATCTGCACATTTGTTTATTCACACACTATGACACTTTTGCATGTTCACAATTTTTTTTTTTTATGTACATATTCACTTACACATGCACTAAGTGATTTTGTTTAGAATTATATGTCCTACATATGGAAATAAGAAATAGCCACACATACTTCACATCTACACACTGCACGGACTACTATGAGGTCGATCGTACAATGTTTATATTGGTTCCTTAGTAACCACGTTCACTCACGCAACAAGCACGTCACGTGACAACCGATTCTCACTTCCGGGTTCGGCGTGAATGGATGAGGGAGTTAATCACAATTGGTGAGTACACTTTATTTTTCTTATATATACTTTGATTGTATGTTTACATGTTGATCCTGAGGAAGACCCAAACGGGTCAAAACGTCGATCAGCAACTTGTAACAAAAATTTCTTGGATGGATTAAATACCACTACTTGTTCCTAAAAAGACCTGAGATACTACATATCAGCGGGATTGCACCAAGGCATTTTAATTATCCACAATATCAGCAAGGGTGAGTGCCATTACATGTATATTGTATATTGTATATATATATTTTTTTTTTATTATTTTTTTTTTTATTTATTAACTTTATTTTTATTTATTTTTTACTTTTTTTTAACTTTTGTTTTACTTTTTCCCCCAAGAGTGGCAGCACTATGGACACCTATTGCGGCCATGTGACTGCTCTTTCAGAGCAGAGAAGGGACTGTCTGGGCTGAGCAGAGACAGTCCCCTTCAGAAAAAGACCGATTGCCGGCAGGGGAACGGTGGCGATTTGGTAAGTACATGGGGAGGGAGAGGGAGGGAGGTAGGGTTTTTGTTTTTTTTAAATTTAATGAAATTAAATGTGATCGCTCTTTCAGAGCAGAGAAGGGACTGTCTGGGCTGAGCAGAGACAGTCCCCTGCAGAAGAAGACCGATTGCCGGCAGAGGAATGGTGGCGATTTGGTAAGTACATGGGGAGGGAGAGGGAGGGAGGTAGGGTTTTTGTTTTTCTTAAATTTAATTAAATTAAATGTGATCGCTCTTTCAGAGCAGAGAAGGGACTGTCTGGGCTGAGCAGAGACAGTCCCCTGCAGAAGAAGACCGATTGCCGGCAGAGGAATGGTGGCGATTTGGTAAGTACATGGGGAGGGAGAGGGAGGGAGGTAGGGTTTTTGTTTTTCTTAAATTTAATTAAATTAAATGTGATCGCTCTTTCAGAGCAGAGAAGGGACTGTCTGGGCTGAGCAGAGACAGTCCCCTGCAGAAGAAGACCGATTGCCGGCAGGGGAATGGTGGCGATTTGGTAAGTACATGGGGAGGGAGAGGGAGGGAGGTAGGGTTTTTGTTTTTTTTAAATTTAATGAAACATTTTTTTTGTATAATATTTATTTTATCCGAGTGCCTCGACATCAAGGCCTCATGCAGTACCCATAGAGCGGCTGGAAGCGATCAAACATGAGTGAGCAGGCAAAACACATTTCTTTTATTTCTTATGGGATTCATATTCAACTGTAGGTTATAACAGAATGGCACAATCATAAAACAAAACATGGCAACAAAGAAAAAAAATAAAATGATCCCTGTTCAAAAGCCTGCATACCCTTAGTTCCTAATACTTTGTATTGTTCCCTTTAGCATCAATGACAGCGTGCAGTCTTTTGTAATAGTTGTCTATGAGGCCCATAATTCTTGCAGGTGGTGTAGCTGCCCATTTGTCTTGGCAAAATGCCTCCAACCATATGCGCACTGTGTGCTGAGAGCTTATGGAGTAGCTGACATGTTTCATAACATCAGCAATGTTTAATAAAAAGCTAAAGTTATCATAGCAGGAGCACTACTGAAGATCATGTAAGGGAGAGCAAAGAGAGGGCTAGGAAAATTGAGAGAGGTAAAGCATTTTATAGAGACGTACTGTGTGGGTATCTCTATACTACAGTTCTGTGTTATACATCAGTGATCCTGGCTGTGTGGGATTGTTATTAGAACCTCATTATTGTATCCAGCTCTATGTGTTATTTATCTGTCTTTTACTCAGCTCTACCTGTTGCATGTGTACCTTTGTAGTCTACCCAGCTCTGTGTATTCTATAGGTATGTTTGTATTGTGCCCACCTCTGTTTATTATATTTCTGTGTTTTCTCACCTTCTTTTGTTGTATGGTTATCGCTATATGGTACTCAGTTCTATGTGTTTTACAGATATCTTTGTATTGTGCCAAGCTTGTTTTATTGTATGAGCATCTCTGCATTCTGCTCAGCTCTGCATGACTATCTATGTACTGTATAAGGAGGAGTAATATTCTAGGTGTGGAAGACTTCACCAGCCACCCACTGAGTATAACCACATAGACTGCCTTAAAAAACATCCAATTCCTCCTTAGTAACATACATCCCAGTTTTATTTTCTCTTCAGACCATATACATAGCTTTAGAGAGTTGAACTTATTGGAAGAGTTGGAGGATTTGGGGTGAATACTGCTCCATATTGTATATCTTCTTAACTTTGTAAGTAATGGTGACATTGGAAGTACTTATAAAAATTAAGCCTTGTAAGATGGTATGTGTCTGTCAAGTCCTGAAAAGAATGGAGTTGGTTTTGGGTCACCAGGTTAATGAACACCCTCACCTTGGCTTAGACCAGTTCTGCAAGCTTAAACTGGTAAGGTGTCTATATTAGAAATTGATGTGTGGCTTGCAAAAGAGCAGAGATAGGAGTATGCACAGGCATTCTGTCACAATTCGGTTTACCCTCAGTCTGCTGCAGTACCTCAAAGTGCCACTACCTGTCTGTGGTGCTATTGCAGGCTGCTGCACCCAGACTGAGATCTATCTCTGCTCCCAATTGGCCTTACTTTAGAATTGTCTTCTCCCTATTTAGTTGAGCCTCACCCATTTTTGTTTGGGGTTCATTAATGTTAATAATGTTGCTGGCCTGGTCCTTTTGTTCTGTATATCTGAGCTAGCTGCCTGTCGCGGCTGCCGGCCCGCCGCGTGGCACGGCTGTGCCCGACCGGCACAGCCTCGCCGACAGCATGAGTTTACCTGCCCTGTTGTGGTTTCTTGTTCCTGGTTTCCTGAGAGTGCTTTATCTTTGTGATTCTGATTTCCTGGTATCCTGATCTTGGCTTTTCCCTGGTTATTCTGAATTATGGTTTCCCTGACTTGGCTTGTGTAGATGGTATTGTGTTTTTTCTGGCTTCCTTGACCTCGGCTTTCCCTTTGACCATTCTCTGTCTCTAGCGTATTAGTCCGGCCATTCTAAGGTCCGGTTTACGCTCTGTCCTTTTATTTTCCTTTTCTTGCCTATGTATATGTTTACATAGTTTATGCATGCTGGACCACACTAGTAGTCGTGACACTGCCTTTCCTGAGTTCCTGTGCTTGCTGCCTTTCCTGAGTACCCTGTATCTAGGAGCCCTGCTTTCCAGTGTCCAGATGCCCTTCTTTTACATTCAGTTATGTGTGCTTGTATTTGATTGTACTGTCTCCCTTGTAAACATCAATAACCTTTATTTGTGTGTATGTTTTTTCTTTGCATTCTGGGTTCCACCCTATAGATGTTACTGCACTAGTCAGCACCCCTTCCAGACCAGACCCTTGACACATTCATGCAACAAATAGTCAGTGAGAGGTAGGCAGCAATGGAGACATTGGTGGCCTGCATGAGGAAGGGCTTTTAAAAGGATAGTTTCCAAGTGGCATCAAGGAATTCACTTATTGATTCCTCGATGGGGCCTTAATGTTTTGTTTGTGGGTGGTGACTTTGTGTGGTGGCTAACTGTAGTGTGTGAGATGACTTATTTGTTTTGTATGTGGATGTGGTTAACTGTATTGTGTTTGGGGTGGATGATTGTGTTGTGTTTGTATAGGATGACTGTGTGTGCTGTGTGTTTGGTGACAGCAGGAACACATAGGAACGGCGTTCCTGCACTTTTTTTAGAGCAGGAACACCAGGAACGCCATTCCCGTTTGTGGTCCTGCAGGCACTCAGGGGGTAGAAAAAAATGCCACCCCCAAATGCACCCCATGTTCCCCCTGTCATGGGGGGGCCCAAGAGTTGGCCTGATGGCCACCTGATGGACTCCCCGGTGGGCGCCTGTCTCCCTGTCAGACGCGGTGAGGGAGCTGTGTCCTCTCTGTTCCCTCGCACGCCATTTGCTGATGCCGGGAGACGGAATATGATGTCATATTCCGGCTCCGGGCATCAGTAGACGGCCCATGCGGCGAGAGGGAGCAGAGAGGACACAGCTCCCTCGCCGCGTCTGACAGGGAGACAGGCTCCTGCCGCACTGAAGCCCCATTGGACCCCAGGGACAGGTCCACACCAGCTCTCCAGGTAGGGAGGCTGGGTGAACTTTTTTAAATTTAAAAATAATAATAATGTGTGAGTGTATGTGTGTGTGTGTGTGTGTCTGTGTGTATGTCTGTGAATGTGTATGCATCTGTGTTATGTCTGTAAGTGTGTGTGTGAGTGTATTTGTGTGTATGTCTGTGAGTGTGTGTGTGTGTGTGTGTGTGTGTCTGTGAGTGTGTGTGTGTGTGTGTATGTCTGTGTCTGTGAGTGTGTATGTATCTGTGTGTGTGTGTCTGTGAGTGTGTTTGTGTGTGTGTGTCTGTGAGTGTATGTGTGTGTGTCTGTATGTGTGTGTCTGTGAGTGTGTGTGTCTGTGAGTGTGTGTGTGTCTGTGAGTGTGTTATGTCTGTGAGTGTATGTGTGTGTATCTGTGTGTATGTATGTGTGTGTCTGTGTGTGTGTGTATGTCTGTGAGTGTGTGAGTGTGTGTGTGTGTGTGTGTGTGTGAGTGTGTGTGTGTGTCTAAGTATGTGTGTGCACCTGTCAGTGTGTGTGTGCACATGTGTATAATTTTTTGGGGGTAGGGAGTGGATCTCAGGTGAGTTCCAACACTTTATTCCCCAGGACTTGACCCCTGGGTGACAGTGTGTGTTGTCTCTGTGTGGAGTGGCTGTGTGAAGGATGGCTGAATGTGTTGAGATTGGGAAGGGACTGTGTGTGATGTGACTGTTTGTGCGCCATTTAGAAGCCTTGTGACAGTGAGGGAGCACTGAAAGCGATCTGCACCTCCAGAATACATGCTCATTCAGTGTAGTGAGGGGGTGTAGGGTGCTCTCTCTCAGAACCAACACTCCAGGTTATCGGTCAAATTTTTTTTATTTTTTTTACCTAATAATGTAAAAAAATAAATGTTGACACAAACTGAGAGGACTTAAAACCTCATTACAAATAAGAGATTACTTACTTTGTAATAATTACTCAAAAGTGTGTGTACTTATCCACTCCAAGGATAATGACCCATTAATTTGTAGCTTCTAACATTAATACATATGACAATTATTATATAGACTCATTCATTCATATATTTTGTAGAAATAGCAATAGCCAACCAAACAATCACAGTAAGTTTGCCACGTATTATTGTGCTTTGTGCATAATTACTTCTACATTAGATACATTTTATAGTGTTCTTTCACATAGCAGTATTTGTGACTTTCTATGACATAAAGGTTTAATGCCTATAGGTGCATAGAAGCACCAAACAAGACTTCTGATATTGAAATACACCCTGTTAATTCATATATCCCATGGAATATAAGGAGCTTTTTCTGCAGTGTATTACACCTTTTTATATTTCTGGCACAGAATATCATGCTGCATTATAACATCCTTTTCTTTGCAAAGTCTAGCTATGGTTACCATAGAAACTGTGAATTCTAGCAGACTGCAATGCCACAGGATTTATTCAGAAGCATATGCCCTTGTGTGTAACACAGAAACACTCCTTTGACTTTTATGTTATCCATTGGATCATCTTTTGTGAAGTGTGAAAAATGTTTTCAGCATGAGAATGAATTGCCATGCAGATTGCAATACTATGTCTCACTGGAAGAAGGCTCCCCATCTTCTCATGTGCTTTTTTTACATTAGCCATTTGCCTTGTGAAACACCCATTCTATATATTAGTGCCTTTTTTTTTTTTTTTATTCTAACCTGGAATTTAACGAATGAGTCAACTGCAGCAGAAAATATTTTTGAATGAATGACCTAGAGCAACAGTATACTATCCCACGGATATAATTAGAAGGTTGACCTGGAACCTGCATAATTACTAAGTTGATGCTGTATATTTTTTGGACTGTGAACCAAAAGTCATAGGAGTGCATGATGATTGCATTTTACTAGTATTTACACATAATCTACCTTGGTTAATGAACAATTGTAAAAATGAACACATAATTGTAACATTGTTACCAAGGTTTGAGTACAGTTATTAAGTCTTGCAGGTTTGTTTAAAATCCTTTTGTTTATCATCCATGTCAACAGGTTCTTTATGGGGGATTTAATAATCATACCATTAGGCCTTATTAAGACATTATACATGATATATCTAAAAGCATACGCAACAAGTTTGTTATCACTCTTGACCACAAATAGCAGTATTTCCTCAGTTAAAGAGACACTGACACACTTTTACAAAATTCATCAAGGTTTATTTTTTTTATTTTTTTTTAAAGAACCAATTAATTCAGACACAAAATGTATAAAAACACCACTAAAAATTCAGCATAAAATGTAATGGTCAAACACAAAATAATGTTCTTTCTTTGACAGTTACGTCTAATGTTAACCCTGTGCCCTCTTTTTGCAAAGCCCATCAGAAAAAATACATTGAAGACTTCTGCTCAATGCTTTATTCAACTTTCTGTTGAACATTTGAAGTAGTGTGTGGTATAGCGAGTTTTTATTAAATTATTATGTTAGCCTTTAAAGTGTTGTGTTATCTGTCTAAAGTGTGTCCTGATTTTGCACAAGAAAATCACAAATGCATTAGTAAAATAATTTTATTGTGCGACCTAGATGATAACATTGTGTTTGTTTCTTTTCTTTATATTAATTTTGTTGAACAAAGAGAATTAAGAACATATCTTGAAAGAAAATTGTGGGCCCTAAACCCTTTATATATTGATATTGACCACTTCTCTAATTGAGCTGGTAGATTATTGAATATCATGAATATGACTAATAAATGTAGTATAAATTTAGTTTTTTTCTTAATTTGTGTTATTTTTGCTGTACAGGTTTTTATATCATCGTGTTCTTATATATAAATATCTGTAACTTTATGGTGAATATTTTTGTAATGTTCAAAGCTAGAATTCCATAGAGTCCCTAGTAATAGAATGATCTTAAAATACACATAATACTATCTTTTCACATATAAAGTATACACACGTATTTTAACACTGTAACACATACAATTTGGTTGTCTGTATACGCACATAGAATGCAATCCTCACTTGAAAATTGGAAGCATCATAGTTTGTTGACGAGATATTTCAGTGGTTAGTCTTCCAACTTGGGTTTCTCTACTATCTGTTCATAACACAGATCAGATCTCTGATATGTTAAATTCTGTTTTTCATTCTGCTACGTAGATACAATCAAGCATTGTTAGGCTCATATAGTATACACAATATGCTTTTACAATAGTAAAGATAAATGTTTCAATTCACAAAATTGTATTAGTGTAGGTGTAGTAAACCTAATAAATAAAACTATTATAACATGTAACACACTAGAAGAATAGCATGTGTTAGTAGGTATATTAAGAAATAAGTTTAAATTGGGGAACTGAAAGTGACCTGTACAAGTGTATATCATTAGAAAGTAACATCTGAAGGTTCTTGGAGCAATTCAATTTTTTCCATGATTTAAAGAGATGTATTATTAATTACACAAAGCCTAACATTAATATTTTTTTTTTAATTATTTAAATAATCTAGTTGATCAGTTTCTCCCATGTTCAGCCTGCTGAACACCTTTTTGCTTCACGTGTCTGGTTTATATTAAATGCATACAGTCTGGATCTCACAAAGTACTATAGCAGTTCTTTTCAGTCATATTTTTATTGTTTTATTCTTTACCAAGTATATCCAATTTGTTAGCATTAAAGAAAAAATATAAATGATTTATTTATACATTTTAGATTTTTTGTAAGAGATGAATGAAATGTAAAATATATGTCTTGGATTATTCTGTATGGTAATTTCAAGGCTAAAAGTAATGGAAATATCACTTGTTCTTTAAAAGAAATGTACAAGAACAATTGCATTATACAGCGTTTAGAAAGAATATATACGGAAGACCAAATTAGGAACAACATAATGAAAACATACAAGCTTACTTACTAAAATGAGATTTCAAAGTGAATTTAAAGCTAGCTTCACGTTTAAGGCCAATTAGCCAAACTTGAATAATTCTCTAAGTTATGTTTTAAGTTTAGCTACTTGGCTTGAAATTCACTTTGAATTCTGACTTTATCATGTTCTGACATGCACTTACCTGGAAGAGCATCAATTTATTGTGGCATATTCAAGTGGGATATAAGAAACCACACTATCAGTAAAGGTATAAAGATATGTATAAAAGATGCAATTATACACAGGATTAAGTCAAGCTCCTGGATAAAATGAAAGTTGCTTTCCCATTTTGATTCAACCAAGATATTTGTAGGTTTCCCTTTCTGATATTGCATTTGTTCAATTCAGTATGATGCTTATTATTTTAATTAAAGGAACACTATAGCATGAGGAATAAAAACAACTGTATCCCTAACTCTATAGTATGCCCTTGTTCCTAGCTTTGGGTCCATGTCCCCCAGCCCCCACCCCGTCTACCCCCAGCTCCTGGCTACAATAAAAGGATTAAAAACACTTTTTTCTCTTGCCTAACTCAAGTGCCAAGGTCCCGCTGATGGAAGACCTAATGCATGGCCAGTGCAGTGCGCTCAATAGACCTTCCCAGTAGGAAAGAATTGAACTGGGGGTTCTGGATTTTGAAGATGCTGAATGTCCACTAGAAGGTGTCTTCACCCTGCAATGTAAACATTGTAGTTTCTTTGGAACTACAATGTTTTCACTTGCAGGTTGAAGGTGACAGGGGCACTGCGCCCAGACCATTTCAATGTATAGTATAGTGTATAGTGTCCCTTTAAATACATTACATCATTATTGATTTTTTTTTTCTCATACTTGGGTTATAATTTGCACAGAAGTGTTGTTTGTCTTTGTGGGTTTTTTTTGTTTTTTTTTCCTAGTTCTAACATTATGGTTGGTATTTTGTAGAATCTGTTTGATAAAATAAGGGGTACCATTACACTACTTTTCTATTCATAAATAAGGAGATAATTAACACCACTTAATCACGTAATGTTATCAAACAAAAATATATCAAATTATATTAGTTTGATTCCATATGCCAAATTACTCCTGTAAACATATTAGTACATTTTCATTTTTTATTAACTACATTATATTTTATGGTGATTAGTTTATTCACATTCCCAGTTTATTTGTGGGTCTATCCACACATCAACATATTTACATAAATAATACTTAACCTCTAAAGGACCATGGCTATTTTGAGATGTGACGTGTTTTGTGACCAAAACCTTTTTGGCACTTTTGTCATGTATTCATTCAACCACGATGTTACCCTTTCTGGTTTTTTTTTTGTTGGTTTTTTTAAAAAAAAAAGTATAAATAGTATTGAAATGAAAATGAAAAAAAATGGAAAAAAAACTAATTTTTTATTTTTTCTACACAATATGTGCAACTAAAGAAAACTAACTTGAAAAAGACTCACTAGTTAGTCCTGATTGTTAAAATGCCCCAAATGTCTAGGTTTTCAGTTAATCTTTAGAAGTTATAGAACAAATAATACAAGGAGTGAATTTTGGTTTTAAAGCTAAAACTGCAACATTTGGCAAATTGACAATAAAACATTTACAGTACAGAAGCCAAAACCATTACACTTCTTACTATATTATGTTTTATGAAGCTCAGTCTAAATATTTAATTCTTGCATTTTTCCACACATATGTTTGGGTAAACTCACATACTACACATGCCCCACTACTGTAAAGACCCCATATTTGTATACTTCTACTGTACTTCTCGAGTACAATGATACCCCATGCATACATGCATACCTTTTCCCCTAATCCCTAATTCAACCCCTAATCAACCACTAATTCTACCCATACTCCTACCCATAATCCATCTCTTAATCCTAGCTATAATCTCACCTTTAATCCTGCCCCTAATCCCACTTTAGAGGGATTATCTCTGATGACATCAGTGCTGATATCAGAAGAGAGATTGTCAGATCCCCTTCATCATGGGGGCAGCCTCAGAATCACACTCAGCTGCTGCAATTTAAAGGGCTTTAAAGGGACATGTGCATTTATTGTGGCTCCAGTTGACAGTGGAAACTCTCAGATTCTGAAAAATACTTGGGTCTCTCTGTTTTAAGATGAGGGGCACACCCAGAATGGTGGATTTAAAGGTATATGTGCAGCGCTAACTTTAACTGTTGCACATCACTCGTCTGCCAGTCTGAGGCTACTAAATGCAGCTCAAGCTGACAAAGGGGATCCTCAGGCATCCAATGATACTTGGCGCTCCTTAGTACCAGAATGGATGTTACCCTGCTAGTACTTTAATGCATTGTGGCCTATGCCATCAATAGGTGTTAAAACCCTGCACTATATGATGGCATAGACCATCACGTGGTTATAAATTAATTAATTAGCCAAATATTTTCTAGAATCAACAAGTACACGATCACTTTTAAAAACAGAATGAAAAAAAAACACATTCCAAAAAAATGCTATTTGACAAAGATAAACAAAATCCAAGACTAATTTTATTAAATGTAAACTATGTAAGCTAGAATCTGATAAATCTAAATTATAACACAGTTCAGGATGCTCTTTCTGGCTTAATAAATGTATGATCCTAATGCCGTGATCCGGTAATATTCATGGGCTGAATGATGCCGGAAAAGAAATGCAATTCTTATGATTAATTAAATAAATCCAAACAAGAACAGAATAAATTAACCAATGTATTTCCCTCCTGAAAATTATGATAGTAAGGATAGGCTCTTCATGTTGTTTATTGAAATTTTTAAATAATTGCATGAGGCCTTTCCTTTTTGCAATATTAGACAAATTTCAATTTCCACCAAACTTTATTAGGGCAGTCAAGGCATTATATACAACCACGTAGTGAAGGTCATTAATAATGGTTTCACATCACCAATGTTTAATATAACCAACAGCTTCAGACAGGGATGTCCCTTATCTTCCGCATTATATATTTTAGCATTAAAACCACTTACTACTTTAATTTTAAGTACAGTATTAAATTAAATAAGAATTATACAATGGTCTTGATAAACAAAGGTATATGATTACTCTTTCACCTTCTCCCTTTTCTTTTTCTATTGTTCTTCTTTTTCCTTATTTACTTATTTATTTTTATTAAAATTATATGTTTACAATATTGTTTACGAATGATATATTGAAAAATGGAAAGAAGGCAAATTATCTTTAAATATATCTATTGATCATAAAAGTTTAATCAAAAAAGATGTATTTCTTAAAAAGATGTATGATTATGATAACAATTGCTAATCTTATTGTTACATTCAATTGTGAACGAAAAATTTACAATAAAAAAATAAATAATTGCTTGACTTCTTTAGTACATATGTGGATATCGCATAAGTGACAATAGTAGACATCTCAGGGCCATAAGTGAATATGCTATTGCAATGATGATATGACTGTGTGAGAGTGTAGTAAAATGTGCCAAAGTTTCTGTCCTATTCAGGAGATGCTATATATTGTTTTGTGCTACATTGTTGTAGCTTGGTAAGGCCTAGCTACAACATAACTGAACAAGTTATGAACAAGGTTTGGTTCATTTACAATGTAATATAATACATTGTTATAAGGTATATGTCAGTTACAACATAGTTGTGTGCATTGTTTTAGGTTTCAGCCTAGATTCAACCTAACTGAACAAGTTACTTTTGTTTCAAGTCATCGCAAGTGTTGTTGATCCATTGTATAAATATGTTCAAGCTCTCTTACATTCTGTTACATTGAATGACATCCATCAAGTGACATTACCTACTGTATGTGACCTGGTGAAGCAGCCTGCTTTGCTGTTCTACAGAAATAAAGCCACCATCTGCACAGAACAAGCATGCCTTGTCTATCATTTCTATAACCTTAATCTGAAATACTATCCCCTAGACCAGGGATAGGCAACCTTTGGCACTCCAGATGTTGGGACTACATCTCCCATAATGCTTTTACACCCATAATGATGGCAAAGCATTATGGGAGGTGTAGTCCAAAACATCTCTATCCCTGCCCTAGACAATGAAGGTGAGTCGGCACCTTGAAAGCATTAGTTTATACAAATAAGATCCCAACTCTGACAAATATAAAAACTCTTATTCATTAAAATATTAAAACAAATAATGGAGAACATTATTATTTGTAGATTTATTTGTGCTAGTCAATGTAGTGGATAGATTTAATTTATTATACCTTCTGAGAGTTAATGTTAATTAGTCATCAATTGTGGTTATGAAATCACAATCATAATTTAAATAATCTAGTAAAATAGATGTTCATTTCAGTGTCATTCAAATGATAGGTCACTTGTTAATTATAACAGACTGTGCTAATCACAAATTAATAATAAAAACACGGGTAATTAATTATACAATCATAATTATAACATAAATATGAATATTAACTGCAACAAAGTAATTACTCTATTGCTTACATTAAAAGGTCACTCCATAGCATTTGTTTCACTTCCTTGTTTTTGCTAATACATACCTTTATAAATGATTAGACAGAAAATCCCTTTTCCCCATTAAGAAACTACTATATTTTGAATGTTAAAATGTCAGCGTGTATTATAGTATACATAATAAGAATTTTGTTACAAGTGTGATCAGTATTATTTCCAGCTTTTGAACTTTCAAATTAAGCCTTTTGTCACGAACTTGGCAAATTTCTCCTTTTGTTGATTTCCAGGAAACTCTAACTTACTTACTGTATCTAAAATATGCAAAATTTATAAAAAAATTTTTTTAGAAGAACATAAAACTATAAAATGTTATAAAAATGCAATGTAATATGTACATAATGTAATATATAATGTATTTAACATACACTGGTTGCATCAAACCATACTGTATATTTCTAGGATATAATTGTGTTCAAAATGTTTTCATGTACTGCAAAAGTTAAATAAAAATAGCACCTGTTTACATCCATATTCTATCAAGTTAGTCTCAAGTCAGATACAAGACATTGTAAAAAAAATATATTGTTTTAAAAAAAAAAATCTGTTTGGTAAAATCATAATTTTGTTTTAATGTAATATAAATGCATTGAAAATAAAGCAAATTGTATCATAGCCAAAAAACAGTTGGTAACTAGTGATTTCCCGAACGGTTCGCTGCGAACGGTTCGCCGCGGACTCTTCATTGAGTAAACTTTGACCCTGTACCTCACAGTCAGCAGACACATTCCAGCCAATCAGCAGCAGACCCTCCCTCCCAGACCCTCCCACCTCCTGGATAGCATCCATTTTACATCCATTGTGAAGCTGCATTCTTAGTGAGCTGTCCAGGAGGTGTGAGGGTCTGGGAGGGAGGGTCTGCTGCTGATTGGCTGGAATGTGTCTGCTGACTGTGAGGTACAGGGTCAAAGTTTGCTCAATGATGAGTCCGGGGCGAACCGTTCGTGGCGAACCATTCGGGACATCACTATTGGTAACATTTTGTATTCACTGTGACATTAAAGCATGAATATATCTTAATGATTATATTCTCTCCTTTACCACCACCATTTATTTATATATTTGTCTTTCCTTCCTTGTGACAGATATCAATATTTAGGTGCATTCATTTTGTTCTTCGCATGATGTTTGCGGTTTGCTCTTCTGTGGATACATTTGATTCTAAACTGAAACAGAACTTTGCTCTGCTTGTTGTCAAGTCTTGTCAACTTGACAAGACCATACTTTGCCATTTGTATATTGCAAAAACTAGGGCAGCAGGAAAAAAAAATTAAAAAAGATTCTGACACAGGGATCAGATAAAGTTTATTTGTGGTGACAGAACCAATTTAAGATAATACTTATTTTTTATGTATGTTTATTGTTAAGGTGACAAGGGTAGGAATGGAGTTAAATAACACGGAGAGAACAACTGACAGAGAATTTAGATGAAGAGGATATAAGCATGAGGAAAGCAGTAGGACATGAGAAATAGTTGTAGGAAAAGACATCAAAGACAAAATAAATATTGAAAGGGAGACATTAAGGTGGAGGTCAGTGGATAAAGATAGGGGGATGAAGGTGTGTAAGGGCCAGTGAAATAGATTAAGGGAGTAATGAGAAAGAAGTGCAAGCAAATTAAATGGGGAGGGATGGTAATGTGGGCAAGTGATATGGAATGGAAAAGGCTTTAGGTCAAGGAAAAAGTAAGTAGGGGAAATAGGAAAAATAATGAGAGATAACATTTCACATGACAAGGGTGTTCTGTCCTCCAGACTTTATTCTGTATATTTGTGTTTTGTTGTTTAGAATAACATGTTTGGTTCCTTTACTTACACCAGCTAGTATAGCTCTAGTTCTGCATATATTGTAAACTCAGTATGTTTAAACATAGTTGTTAGAAAGCACAGCATTATGGGCAGGACTTCTACAGGAAGTGTATCAACCTCCGTTTTGAGAAGATACAGTAAGCAGCAAGGCATGTTCTTCTCATCCCTAGCCATCACCCCTTAGAGAGCTTAAAAAGTGAGTTCTTGTTATCCTATCCTGTATTATCGATCATTGTTTCTTTGTTGTATGCAATACTGTACTGCTTGATGTTTATTTCTACCAATTTGTAGTTTCACCTGGCTTGTTCTAATAAATTTGTGATCAAAGAAATATGGTATCTGAAGTTTATGGAGCAGGAAGGTTTAGCTCTCTGTCCTAGAGACAGAACAGTGAAATTTTTGCTGACCTCTGGGGTGAAGATAAGCTGACTTTGGAAGACTGTACAGCAAGCAGCTTTGCATTATACTTACAGTTAGAAGCTTTAGATGAAACAGGCCTTCAGCAGGGGAAGCAAGCAGCCAGGCTACACAGAGACACACTCTGTCACGCAGCACTGACACTTCAACGGTCTCTATACAGCAGGAATTTTCGCCAGTCATGTCTCGCAGTGGGGCATCTTCTTATAAAACATGAACACAAGCAAGCTCATCCAAGTCATCTGTCACAAATGCAGCAGCGATCGCCCAATCGAAAGCCAAAGCAGCAAGGGCCAAGGCCACATTCGCAGACCAAGAGCTGCAGATGAAAAAAGAATGGCTCACCTAGAAGCAGAAAAAGTTAGGCAGGAAACATCTCTAAATATGCAGCAGGCTATCTTAGAAGCTAACATGGAGAGGCTAGCAGTAGACCGCCATTGCAGAAACATTAGAAGTAGCTGTGTACGACGAGTCAAAAGTAAGTAG